TGTCATGAACTTTCATATTAAACATGCTCATTTGAAAGTTCATTTGATTTCTGCCTTCTGGCAGTGCATGCTCAACCTGTGATCAAGAGGACCATCTGCATGCCTCAATCTTGCATGATCTTTTGTTAAAAATTGTGTGATTAGAATTTATCTGACAACTGTAATAATGCAAGACTAGGAATGGGTATGTTTATCTATTCTTTAGCACTAATGAGTGAATTTTTGAAGTAAGCAGATGTAACAGGAAGATGCAAAGAAGCAAAATGTTAAAGTGCCCTTTTTACCCAATCATTACTCTTTCGGTATCTGCCTATTAAAAATAAGAACACAGAGGCTGAGAGCTTTGAATCAACTTGTTGAGGCTTGTATTCATAGTGGTATTTGTGCAGTTTCTGGGGATACCTTGTGAAGAGGCCTTATTTTGTAGGAGAGGTTATGATGATGGGTTTTTTTGTGCATTTTTAAATGGTTTTTCTCTCTGCAGGACTAATTAAATCAGAGTAGCCATTTTCATTTTCCTGTGTTCTCATAGTAATATAACTTGTTATGTTTTGGTCAGTGAATAGGAATACTTTCGTGCTTCTCCTGAAGTTAAAAAAATGGACAACTTCTTGGTCTTTGCTTGTGTTCTTTTAAAAAAAATGTTTGGGGACCAAGAGTGGCTATGTATTTAGGGACATGTTGATTTTCTGTAACCTGACTTCAGATATTTAAAACTGGTGGAGAACCTTAGGGCAGGGGACCAGATGTGGCCCCTTGCTTGTCTGGGTCTGGCCCCCGAGTCTCAGGACCCTCCCTGCATTGGGGAACCTGTGCTGGCACTCCAGCCCTCCGGCTGCTCTACCATGGGGCTAGAGCACACACAATCTATTAAACTGGGCCCCCCTAGGCTCTGGTGTGCAAGGACAATGTGGGTAGTGTCTTTCTCCTTCTCAATCGGGCACCACAGCAGTGAAGAGTTTTTGTGTGTGGCCACTGACTAATTTTTCTGTGGGTCAATGGCCCTCAACCCAAAAAAGGTTTCCTACCCCTGATCTAAAAGGACTCTGCCAGATTTTCACAGGGCTGGTGTTAGGGATGTCAACAAGTAGGCTTATCGGTTAATCTAGTTGTCTACTTGCATTCACCCTCTTTGCTGCTTCTGTATCAGAGGTAGCAAGGGGGGGAAGCAGGAACTAATACCGGGGGGAGCTGGCTTAGAAGCCGGTTGCCCCGAGCACCAGTGCTGCTCTCCCTGATCCATTTCTTCCCCCTTTCCGCGCATTTTCTCTGCAATGAGCTCAGACTTCTCTGGGGACACAGATTGTTGCCACCCCCCGCTGGGCAACAGGCAGCTAGTCCACAAGGGAAGCTAGTTTTTAAACTGGCTCCTGCCTGGCACTCCATGCTGCTGCTTCCTGAAAGTGGAGCTGGAGCACACAGGGTGCCAGCCCAGTCTCCAGAGACTACAGGCAGTCCCCGACTTACGCGGATCCGACTTATGTCGGATCCGCAGTTACGAACAGGGCTCGCCCCAGAGGACACGGACTGTGGGACCTCGCGGTCCTGCCGCCCGTGTACTCCGGGGCTTTCTCCGCATCTCCCTGGTCTGCAGACCAGGAAGACACGGAGCAAAGCCGTGGAGGACCCAGGCGGCGGGACCGCGGTGCGCCTCGGTCCGCCGCCCGCGTCTTCTTGGTCGGGTGTGGGGGAGGGGGCGCAGCTAGTACCCCCCCCCCCCCAGCAGACTAGGCTTTTCTCCGGATGCCTGGGGCAGAGCAGATGGGGTGCTGCTGGGTTGGTCCAGTAGTGCCGAGGAGCGGCGCTACTGGAGCAACCCAGCCGCACCCCAGCTGCTCTGCCCGAGGCGTCCCCAAGTCAGCTTCTGCTGAAACTGACCAGCGCTGACTACAGGAAGCCCCAGGCAGAGTTGCTCTGCCCCGGGCTTCCTGGAATCAGCTGCTGATCAGTTTCAGCAGCAGCTGACTTGGGGATGCTTGGGGTTCTTAAGTTGATTCAAGTCGGAACTGGCGGTCAGTTTCAGCAGCGGCTGAATCAGGATGCCTGGGGCAGAGCAGATGGGGTGCTGCTGGGTTGGTCCAGTAGTGCCGAGGAGCGGCGCTACTGGAGCAACCCAGCCGCACCCCAGCTGCTCTGCCCGAGGCGTCCCCAAGTCAGCTTCTGCTGAAACTGACCAGCGCTGACTACAGGAAGCCCCAGGCAGAGTTGCTCTGCCCCGGGCTTCCTGGAATCAGCTGCTGATCAGTTTCAGCAGCAGCTGACTTGGGGATGCTTGGGGTTCTTAAGTTGATTCAAGTCGGAACTGGCGGTCAGTTTCAGCAGCGGCTGAATCAGGATGCCTGGGGCAGAGCAGATGGGGTGCTGCTGGGTTGGTCCAGTAGTGCCGAGGAGCGGCGCTACTGGAGCAACCCAGCCGCACCCCAGCTGCTCTGCCCCAGGCGTCCTGATTCAGCCGCTGCTGGTCAGTTTCAGCAGCGGCTGAATCTGGACGCCAGTTCCGACTTACATACAGATTCAACTTAAGAACAAACCTACAGTCCCTATCTTGTACGTAACCTGGGGACTGCCTGTATAGAATAGTTGTCTAGCTGCTAAAAATTCATGCCATTAGGTGACTATTCTGTTACCCGCTATCTAACATCCCTAGCTGGTGCTCAACTCTTTCTGAAGTCTTACTCTACGGAAGAATGATTATGTGGAGGAAAGGAGGTAGTTTTAATTCCAGATTAAAATAAATTGAATTTCAGGAAAACATTTTATATCAAGTTCGTACAGAAAATAAGTTCAAGTGTAAGACCATATCTTGTTACTTAGGTGTCACAGACTCTCAAAGGTGTCACAGACACTCAAACAGAGCTGGGAAGGGATGGGATGAAGAAGAGCTAGATATGTTACTTAGTTTAGGACAGGTATTTGTTTAGTTAATTTCTTGTCCTCCAGTTCCCACTGGATTAAAATACATTTTTTCTCTCTCTATGTATGAAAATAGCTTCCTGTGGGATGACAGTGACATCATCATGTCACTTTCTCATCCCACAGGCTCTCTGCCCCGGACATTGTTCAGGGACTGCATGACTTGTTTCAGGGCTGCTTGCTTGTGCCACTGTTGTTCTTGGTGCTCATGAGCTGCTAGACCAGGAGGCTCAAGAGAAGCACCAGGCACGAGAAGAGGTGCCCTGCATCCCTGAGCACCCACTGCCCATTCTCTGCCGTGCCCTGAGCGACCATGTGCTCAGCCCACTGCCAAGCTGTTCCGCTGAGACCCAAGTCCAGCCTCCAGACTAGACTGCCTCCTACCCGCCCAGACACACGTGGGGTTACAGCAGCGAGTGTCACTTCTGCAAGACAGGGGAGGAGGCACCCAGCAGCACTGACCTCTTTGCCTGGTGCTGCAACCAGTGATCCTTCTAAGCCAGGCATGTCCAAAGTCTGGCCCGCGGGCCAATTGCGGCCCGTGTTCTGGTTTAATACGGCCCCACAGGTAATTTGGCAATATCTATCTTTTATGGCCCCCAATGAATCCATATGTATTGAGATGAATACATTGTAAAATCTCAGTTAATGTCAGTTGGTCTAAATCAGTTATAAATATATTTGGACACAACATGTATACTTGGTGTTATGTTCCTGTTCATATTTTTTGAACTTAAAAGTTGACAGACAACCTTTATTACCAATAATATGTAATGTACTTTACAATGTTCCTGACATATATTTCAGCTTCCTGGATTTTTTTTCATCTGGCCTTCAGATATGAAAGGCAGAGTGATTTAACACCTGTTTAGATTTGTCATCCATGTGACGAAATGAAAAGTATGCTGTTTGCAATAAACTTTGCATAAAATAGTTAATTTGCATTTAATTTTAATGGTTCAAAGAATGTCAGGCAAAATGGTTGGCCCTCACGCATGTTCACTTCCTCAAATCTGGCCCTCTTTGAAAAAAGTTTGGACACCCCTGTTCTAAGCTGTACAGCAGCACAGCTTCACAGGTGATTAATCAACCTTACTCAATCAAAGGCTCCTGTCTCCTTGCATAGGGCTGATTAATCACCTGCTGTGTCGCTTAGAGAGAACACTGGCTGCAGCCCCTTGCCATCCCTCCTCCCCCATGTGGTAAAGCACTAGTGCTCGCTTCTTGCTTGGGGGGGGAGGGGGAGGGAGAGAGAGAGAGCCTTGCACTCCCCCTCCTGGGTTGGGGGAACAGCAGCATGTGAGCATGTTGTCTGGAGCCTTTCCCTGCGCTCCCATTGGCCAGTTTCCGCCTAATGAGAGCAGTGGGAGGCTGAGCCTGGGACCAGTGTGGGGCCCAAAGACAAGTGCTCCCTTGTGCCCAGCCCCTGCACTCCCAGCCCCTCACTCATCCCCCCCCATCCTCTTCCTTCAGCAAGACACCCTGCTCCCAGCCCGCTCCTGCCCCGCATCAGACACTCTGCCCCCAGACTGCTGCCCCCTACCTCCCACCCAGACCTTGCACCCTGGCCAGATCCTGCATTCCTATCCCTATCCCACTTGCTGGCAGCCCTGCCCCACACACTGAACCCCTCATTTTTGGCCTCACCCCAGAGCCTGAGGGGCCTACAAAATCCACTAACCCTGGAACTGCAGAAGAGTTAATCTGGCCTGAGGCCTTGAACCTTAATCCTCTCCTCCCTCTCCCTCGGGGCTGGAACACCAGAGTAGTGAGAAGTTTCGGTTGGGGTTTTTGGAAGGACTTTTTTTTCCCCTTTTCACTTGTGTGGTCCCCAACTGATTTTTCTGTGGGTCAGTGGCCCCTGACCCAAAAGAGGTTCCTCACCCCTGCCATGAATAAAGACATTGTTGAAACCTTTTTTGTTGGACATAATATTTTACCTCATTTAAAAATGAAGCCTGGCCAACAAGCCCCCAGTTGGGGCCCAGCTCCCATCTGGCCCCGCAGTCTTGTCCCTGCTCCTGGGGCAGGCCCTGCAGTCCAGGCCCCATCTGGCTGCAGAAAGGGCTAGTGGCGGCCCTCCTCCTGCTACAGCATGGGTTGGAGGAGAGGCCATGATCTGGCTGCAGCAGATAGAGGGGCATTGGCAAGTGTAGCGAGCAAGGGGTGCAGCCCCATAACAAGGAAATAATTTAATAAAAAGGATATAGATTTCCCTGGGTCACAGTAAGGATTTTAAAATGTTCCTTGCAGACATGCCTTTTTAATATTGCCTCTTGTACATTAGTTTGACTGGACAGAATGTGCAGATTTAATTTATAAATTGCTTTAAGAGTAAAATTTTGGGTAATTATCTGTTTTTGTTACAGGTCGGGAGTACATTATCCCATCCTTGGCACACAGGTTTATAGCAGAGATGGTGGATTTCTTTATTCTTTTCTTTATAAAGGCAACCATTGTCTTAAGTATTATGCATCTCAGTGGAATAAAGTAAGTTAAACCATTTAAGGCATTATTATATAAAGCTTTTCACTCTTCTGATTGAAAAGAGTTTTTTATAAATAGTGAATTTTGGAGCAGCTAGGCTTGCACAAAGGAGAAGCACATGATGATATCTTAATTGACCATAAGCTCTTTCTAAACTTATTTTATATTTTAAAATAGATCCTTAAGGTGTATGTGTATTATTAAAAGTTATTTGTACATGCCTAGAAATGTGTTTTGATTAACTAAGCTCAATAGTTGGCACTCAATTTGTTTAAAAAGGAAATCTGAGTATAAACAGGTGAGGAAACATTTTAAACTAGCTTGTACTTTTAAAATACACTATCAGGGGTTTTAAAAAAATCTCACACTTTGAAAGCTGTAATATTTGAATATTTTCCTCCATCATTTGTTTTATGCAAATTTAGCAGTCTTTGGTGTGTATTTTTTATTTATTTTAAAGAAAAAGCCTAAGTACCATTTACTTAACAAAACACCTATTTGCAATTCTTTAGTGTGGGAAGGGGGTAAGATAAGTTGGATGTGGAGCCTGTCAACCTTGTCTGATTTCATTACTCCTTGTATAAAATGTAATTTTAAATGCTACTTGAGAACCTGTTGAATGAGGACATTCATAGATTATAAAGTCAGAAGAGACCACTGGGATCATCTAGTATGACCTCCTGAATTAATTACTGTTAGAATAATTTGAAAAAACATAAAAGCCTAGCTGTCAGTGTTGGAGAAGAATCCACTGTGGCCTGTGATAAAGTTGTTCCATTGGTTATTACTAAGGATGTTAAGGAGTGGATATTTGGCTAATCATGTAGTTGATGTAATTTGCATGCCCTATGCAATTAGTTGATAAGGGAAGGTGCTCTGCAGAGCCGCAACAGGGGTAGCTCCTTGAGTCTGCGCGAGATGGGACTGAGCAGTCTCAGCTCATGCCCGCTTCAGGTCCGCTGCAGCTCTGCATTTTAAATGTAGTAAGAGCCACTGGGTCCAGCAGCCCCTGTACATGCATTACAAAGCCATGGAGCCTGGGGTCAGCAGGGGGACTCAGAGTGAGGACTCCTCAGCTAACCCCAGGTTCCACATGGCACTTCCCCAGAACCAAGGGTCAGCTAGGGACTTCCCAGTTGATCCTGGGCTCTGTGCAGCAATGGAACTTGGGATCAGCTCCCCCTCCTCCACCCCCACCCCCCCGCTTGCCCGGCAGCTGTATGGGGCTTACCCTGCCTCCGGAGGTTCTCCATGCCATTCCCTGGCGACCCCCTCTGGCTGGACAAAGCCTCGCTCCCTCTCCTTTGCTTGCAGCTGGTGGCTGGGTTTCCCCAGCTCACTGGTCACCGGCAGCTGCATGGGGCTTTGTCTGCCTCCTTACAAACGGCGGAGCTTCTCCGCTCACTGCTCAGTTCCCTGGTGACCTTGCGTCTGGCCAGAAGGGTCACCGGGGAACTGTGCGGCAAGCAGCAAACCTCTGCCACTTTGTAAGGAGGCAGACGAAGCCCCGCGAGCTGGGGAAACCCAGCTGCAAGCGGGGGGCAGAGGAGATGGAGCGAGGCATCCAGCCAGAGGGAGTTGCTGGGGAATGATGTGGTGAGCGGAGAACCTCTGGAAGCAGGGTAAGCCCCGCGCAGCTGCCAGTGACCGCCAGCTGGGAAAAATCAGCTGCAAGCGGGGGGTGAAGGAGAGGGAGTGAGGCATCTGGCCAGAGGGGGTCGCCGGGGAACAGCTCAGCGAGTGGAGAACCTCTTCTGCTTTGCAGGGAAAGCCTTGTGCAGCTGCTGGCCACCGGCTGGCCCTAGGGGAAATTGTGTTGTTGTGGAGACTGGTCATGTTGTTCGAAAAATGTTCCCCCTTCCCCAAAAAAATCATGCTTTCGCGAAAACGTGTTAAGCAGTCATGTGTTAAGTGAGTAACTACTGTATAGAAGACTGTAATTTCCAAGATATGGATTGGAGGGTAAGTGCTCCTAATAATGATAGGACTTAGGTTTTCCTGTATATGACGGAGTTCTTCACCATGAAGTCACCATTCCAACAAGAGGTGATGCCATTTAAAATTTGATATTGGCAAATAGTGAGGCCTCGTAGAAAAGTTAGTCGTAGGGGAAAACCTTGGTTCAAGTGATCATGAGCTAATTTATTTTAAATTAAATGGAAGCATAAATACAAATAAGTGTGCATCTAAGATTCTTGATTTCAAAAGGACTAACTTTAAAACATATAGGCATTAGTATTGGAAGTGGACTTAAGTGAAGAACTTGAGGATCTGAATGTGGAAGAGGTTTGGAATTTAAATCAAACTTGCAGACCAAGCTGAATGAGCAATCATCTCAAACATATTAAGAGAAAGCAGAAAACCTGTGAGCAATGGAAGAGAGATATATCATCATGAAAATCAACTTCTTGAGGAGAAAGTGTAGAGGAAAAATGGATTGCCAGAAGCCAGAAAGAGCTGGAACTTAAAAAGGAAATCAGTAATAAAAGGTTCTGAAGCCATATAAAGAAAATAAAGCTAAGACAACTGATCACTGAGGATGGGGTGGCAAGTAGGGCTAATCTAGGCATAGCCCAATCTTTAAGCAAATACATTTCCATAGTTTTTGGTGGAAAAGAGGATATAGAAGTAGAAAGTCACCTTAATGAGACCAAATCACGAGACCTGGAGAATTTCTATCCAAGGATATTAAAGGAACTGACACGTGAAATTGCAAGCCCAATAGCAAGGATTTTTAATTAATCCAGAATTGCTAATATAGTACAGGATGGAATTCCCTGGTATGGCACCCTCAGTGCCTGACCAGTCCTGAATGAGGGAATTTGCTGGATCTGGGGAGGTCAATTCCGTCATGCTGCTGACTGTTTCTGGGCTCTCCTGGGTTTGTCAGCAGACCTGGCATGGCTCCCCTCCCTGCTACCTGGCTCCAGTGGCCAGCCCCAGCTACAGCTGCCCCTGGGTTGCTGGGGATGCCACAGTTGCATTGCTCTGGGAAGGCTGCAACCAACCCCCTTGACCCAGCTTTCTGGTCCATGGGCTGTCTGGTCTAGCAATATCCTTGGTCATGCCAGACCAAAGATATTATCAGACCAGAATGTCCCAGAAGAGAGAGATTCAACCTGTACCTATTTTTTAAGATTGAATCATGATCTAAGAAACCATGGTTAATTTGACCTTGATTATATGCAGGGTCTTGGGGAGCTTTTGAAAGATAAAGTAGTTAGGAATGTAGAGGTTAAAAGATAGCTGAGATAAAATACACTATGGTTTTATAAAAGGTAGATTGTGCCTGATCTGTCTCTGAGAAAATTGATTTTTTTTTAGATGCAGGAAATGCAATAGATCTGATCTACCTGGATTTCAGTAAGACATTGTATACATTTCTAAGTGGGAAAATACTAAATTGGAGAAGACTTGAAAGATAGATAAGGAACTTGTGGGTCATAACGAATGGTGATCTGTCAGGCTGGAGTGAGGTTATTAGTGAAATTCCTTAAGGGTGGGTATTGAAACCAATTTTATTTAACATTTGTATTCATGTCCATAGTACAAAAAGTGGGAATGTTCTCATAAAATTTGCAGATGACATGAAGATGAGAGGTATTCTAGTCCACCTTTATATTGGCAATATCATGCAATAAGATCCGGATGATCTTCAAAACTGGGGTAATAGAAGTGGGGTGAAATTTAGCAGAGCAGTTAGTAACAATTTTTTTTGCTATAAGCTGGGGACTGGAGGAAACTGATGATTATAAGCTGCTAGTGTGAGGCAGTTATGAAAAAGGCTAATGTAATGCTAGGAGGCATCAGGCAAGGTTTTTCCTGTAGAGCTAGTAAAGTGTTGATATCATTATATAAGCTATTGGGGAGACCTCATCTGGAATACTGTGCAATTCTGGTCTCCCAAATTTAAGAGATTAATTCAAACTGGAACAGGTGCAGCGAAGGGCTGCTAGGATGATCAAAGGAAGGGAAAACCTATCTTATGCAAGAGAGGCTAAAAGAGCTTGGCTTGTTGAGCCTAATTAAATGACTGAGGGGAGATGTGATTGTGTGCCTTAAATACATTAGAGGGATAAATACCAGGGAGGAAAAGGAGAGTTATTTAAGTTAAGCTCCGATGTGGATGTAAGAACAAATGTACATAAACTGCAATTAACAGGTTTAGGCTTGATATTAGACAAAGATTTCTAACAATCAGAGGAGTAAACTTCTGGAATAGCTGCTCAAGGAAAGCAATTAGGACATAAAACCTAACTGGTATCAAGACTGTGCTTAATTTTATGGAGAGGGTGGTATGATGAGACTGTTCAGTGGCATGTAGCCATGCTGCAACTGCTAGTAGCAAATATCCATAATGGCCAGTGATGAAACTCTAGTAGTGGAGTGCTGAGAGTTACTACAGTGCCTTTTTACCCAGGTGTCTGAATGTTTGTGTATTGCTGGCATGCTTGGGGTCCAGTTGACCACCATATTTGGGATTGGGAAGGAATTTTCCGTTGGGTCAAATTAGCAGAGACTCTGGGGTGCGGGGAGGGAGTTTACCTTCTGCAGTATCGGGCATGGGTCACTTGCTGGTTTACATGAGTAAATGGTGGATTGTCTAACTTGAGGTCTTTAAATCATGATTTGAGAATTTCAGTAACTCAGCAGTTATAGGTCTAGTACAGGAATGGTTGGGGTGAGCGTCTGTGGCCTACAATTTGCAGGAGGTTAGATCAGGTGATCATGATGGTCTCTTTTGGCCTTCAAATCTGTGGCCTGGTTTATACTGCATAGCTCAGTTGTATGCAGCCTTAGGTTGATCTGCTGTGGAAATGCTTTCACTTAAATTTGGCTCCCACAATGTGTTTCTCTGCCACTTCAGTATCATAGCGACACAAGTTGTGGTCAATGTAATTAGATAACGCTGAGTCAGTGTAGACCCTGCGTTGCTTGTATGGACTGTTACTGGCCCCCAGGAGCCTCCACACAATGGCCAACACTGACAGTACAGTCCATACACGCACTCCTGGTAAAAACACACACTACTGACACAGAGGCTAGTGTGTGCACACAAGTGATCTAATAACTGGAGTGGCTATATGTCCACTTAAGTGAAGTCGACGTAGAATCATAGAACATTAGAACTGGAAGGGACCTCGAGAGGTTGAGTCCAGTCCCCTGCCCTCACTGCAGTGTAGACTTGAGCTATAAGATTGAGTCAACAAGTTGCTTCTGTACCAGGGATTATGCTGGCGTAGATACATCTGTGAGGGGAGTGGTTTCTTTCACATCTCTGATGGACATAGCTATGCCAGTATAATCTTTCAGTGTAGACCATGCCTGGATTCCAAAGGAGTAACTGAAGTGATGGCCGCAGATACCATAATAGTCAAATGCAGTAGGTTGGTGGAATGGCTCATTTGTTAAAGTAAAGTCTTCTTTTGTACAGGGACATTTCTAAATTTGCTATGCATTATATAATAGAAGAAATAGATGAAGAGACATCCATGGAAGACTTGCAGAAAATGATGATAGTGGCTCTTATCTACAGATTGTTAGTCTGCTTCTATGAGGTAACTAGTCATAAGTATTAAATTCTAACTTATCAACTGGTTATCCAGGTCAAATGATGTTCCAGAAATATTTAAAAACTGATTAACTGGTGAAGAACCTTACTCTAATATACCAACTGGAGTCTGACACATGAAGTTGCTGGAATTATTGTAGGATATTACCAGAAATGTATTTAACCATACATTCAATTAAATTCAAAGATCCAATTATACAATTGCTCTACAAATCTAAATAACAATAAAGCAGTCAATACATCGATACAGTAGCAAACGTAAGTGTTCAGTACACTCTCAAAAGCCCATCCTATAAACACCCCTCTCATCCTGAGTGGCACCAGTGTAATCAGATGGGAATGACAACTACTTTTAGCAAACATGGGTTATTTATACAATATAACAAGTGATTTCATTGTCAATTGCTTACTTATACTAAGAACCAATTTTGAGCAGTCTTGGTCTTCCCTCAACCTTTGAGCAGTCTTGGTCTTCCCTCAATTTTCTTGGTCTTCCCCTCAACCTTGGCTAAGACCAGATAGGCCAGTGTGGGCCTTTTCCTGTGATTTTTCTGGATATCAAAGCTAGCTGCAGTTGGTCTTTTATCTCTTTACACAGGCTCATATTCTAAAATAATATTGGCATTTTGGAGGTTACTATACATTCATCATAACACAACCCTTCTTTGTCTGTTAGAACTAAGGTTTTGCTAATTAGAGGGTTCTCTTAATCATATTTCAAGAATAGCTTCCTCCCAAAACCTGTCTCGTTCAATGTTACATTCTTTTTAGCATTTGAATCAATTACTTTCAAGGACTGGTTACATTTACCTTACTCTTTACACAATGTACTAAACACAGATAATTATTACCCAAGCTAAATTAACTTTAAACCTTTAGTTTTTTTAAAAACTAAGTGCATGAGAATAAATGTAAATTAAATATTCAGTCTATTAAGATTAAGACCTCTATACCTCTGTGCCATTTGGATTGCTTTTATTTATAAATTTCACTTAATTAAGCTGTTTACATTTTGAGCAACCAACAGTGATAGGTTGCAAGAAATAAATAGTTGATTTCTCTGCAGATTATCTGTATTTGGGGAGCTGGTGGGGCAACCCCAGGGAAGTTTCTGCTTGGACTTAGAGTTGTGACATGTGATACTTCTATACTTATTGCACCAAATCGTGTGTTAGTGATACCGTCTTCCAATGTTAGTATAACAACGTAAGTATTCTTTATTTTATTGCATCTTTAACAAATTAATATTACTGCAATTACATAATTTGAAATAAGATTACTTTGCAAGCATTTTGTAAATTTTTCTTATTAAAACAATAATATTCAATGAGAAATCTAACAGTACATACTTGGTAATGAGGGGATCTATTCCTTCTGAGATATGGGTCTGTTGCAGGATGGGTGGGCAAGGTTATGAAGTCTGCAGAAGTTAGAGTAGATTAGAAGATCATGATAGTCCTTTTTGGCTTTAAAGTCTGAGTCTTTGGTACTGATTACCAGACAGAATCTAGACTTGTTGCAGCGAGCCAGGAATCAAATACTGGCTATCTAGTCACTTAAACAAAGGTATATTTTAGCTTTTCATGTGGAAATTACTTGATTTCTAAAGCCACGCTATTCACTTTGTGCTGCATAAATTTGAGGTACTGGATGAGTGGCAAAACTTCTGTGGGCAGGGACTGAAAATTAAACTTGTTTCCTTCTCATTCTAGGTCTACAATACGAGCTTTGATCAAGAATTTTTCTATTGCTTCCTTTTTTCCTGCATTCATTACACTGCTATTTTTTCAGCATAACAGAACAGCCTATGACATTGTAGCAGGAACTATTGTGGTAAGAAGAAATGGAGTCAGATGATACCAGTGCCCAGATTACCACACTTTTCTGAACATGTAAAAAAAGAAAGACCATCAGTATTGGTTGCCCAAATTAGCTGCAGACGGATTCAGATGTTAAACAAAATGAGCCATTTCAGTATATAGTACCAGTGATTATCTTGAAAGTATTGATTTTTCATAAACGCCAAAGTAGTTTGAAAGAAATAGTACCTATTCAGTATGGAAATATTAACATTGGATTGATAGGAAGGAAACAAGTTATATTTATCCTTAAAGGTCCATTTTTCTCAGTCTCCATAAAGGAGATGCCTGGAAATACTGCCATCAAGTTCTACATCTTAATTATTTTATGGGAAAAATAACATGGAGAGTGTAGTTGTGGTCTGTGTTGGGGTTTACAAAACAGATTACACAAACATCCTCTCAGAGGAGATTGCAAAAATCTAGCTAATAATGTGTTTCCTTTTAGCCAATACATTTTGTGGGGTTGGGTATCAATCCCTAAAGGTCTTAGTGAATTTCTTCACTCTAAGCATTGTATTCCTTTACTACTTTTTAAATGTGTTATCTAAACATGTATTGTGGCAGGTTTTATGCATGATTGTGTTAAGTATTCAGTCACTTACTATTTATGACTATCCCAATGAAGAGGTAAATTTAGATTACTACTTCTTTGTGGGAAGAATAAATTACTGTGGTATTTGTGAATTAGGTTTGAGTAAATAACTTCAGAGCCATACAATTAACAGTATAGATCTTGGTAAACAAAAGGTGAAAATTGTAGCTTCCATTTGTTGGGGAAGGAAAAGTTTTACTTTTCTCAAGTTGTTGCACATAGACTGTGTAAACAGATGGAGTGTTTATGCAGCATGTAGAAAATACCAACCAGAACACAAATTATGGTTGTAACTTCATAGATAAATTCAACAATTGGTTTTCACATTATATTTTAAAATTCTGCCTAATCATTTCTATACGCAGAATAACTTGGATAGCTATAGATGAATAAAGAAGCCTAATACTTTTGCATGAGTACATAGCTTTGATAACTTATGTTTATTCTTTATGTAATATTTTCTAGGAAAGTGTTCTGGAAAAACAATGTCAATTTTCATTACCTGATACATTTAATCAAGTTGTTTTTAAAGGAGTTGGTGGACTGCTACAACACTGTAAATAGTTGGCATAGGATTAAATATTGACAAGTAGGTGCAGCAGTTACTCTTGACTGTCACCTAGTTTGTGCAGAGAGATACTGTGGGAGGGTATTATAATATGTGCAATATAAACTAGGCACGTGATAGTGTATGGTTAACCTTCACAATTACACGCAAACCGCACCCACACCCCTGTATCAGAGGCAGCAGTGCAGGGGGTTGGGGAAGCCAGTGCTCACAGGGAGCTGGCTTTTTAAGCAGCTGATACAGAGGTAGCAGCATGGAGTTAGGTGCCAGTTGGTAGGCACAGGGAGCTGGCTGAAAAGCCATCTTTCCACACACACATGAGCTCCTGTGGAGCCATGTAAACGTGTAACCACTGAAAAATGTGGTTACACATTTACTGAAAAAAGTCTTTTAATATCCCTAATTTCTACAGATAGTGAAATAATTTAGGAAGGTCAGTGCCATTGTCAACTTTCATAATGATATAGCATTTTAATGTATCATTAGGACTAAATATTGAAGTGTTCCTGGAGATGGAGGGAAGGTGTGTTTTGAACTAATTTTCACTACAGTGGTGCTTAATCTTTTTGGTTAGTACTTGCAAAAGATTGAATGTCTGCTTTAGACATTTTCATTTGCATAACCAGGGCTTGCCGAACTGCGGCGAGCCCCGATCGCCAGCCGCACTGTCCAGTAATCTGCGTATGTGCAGATCGCCGGAACCCGGCTCTTCCGGGTTACAATCTACTTGCCACAGGCAAGTAGATTGTATAATTTGTCGAGCCCTGTGCATAACTCTATATTTTTTCCTTTCAAAAGTGATCTCTCAGGTTCTTGTAAAATTTACTGTAATTTTAAAGTATTACCTACTCACTGCAGATCAGATTACAGCAGTTTTGACTGTGAATCAGGACCCCCTTTGACTGGGTTTGACTGGGCTGGCTTAGACTTGCTGGGCTCAGGGGCCAAAACCTAAGGGCTTCAGCTCTGGGCCATAGGACTCAGTCTGTAGTGCCACTCCCCCTTCTCCTCCCCCATTGGGGAGGGGGTGTGTCAAAGTAATTTTTGTTGTTGGAGAGATCATGGTACAATGAAGTTTGAGATCCTAACTTAGAAGCTACCTCTCTGCTTCTTAAACTGCAGAGCTGCTACTTAAAATCTGAACCCCCAACTGATAACGTATTCCTAGAGTTAATGAAGTGGATGAACACTGAGCTCAGCCAAAGTACAACAAACACAACAGTATTCTACTTTCCTTGCTAGTTTCTCTGTGTAGTGGGGCAACAGGTTTTGCCAACACTATGTGTGGTGTCTTCGAGAGGCACTTCCTGTTCTGCATGTGCTGTAAGCAGAGCCATTTGGATGCTAATGTGAATAGGCTAGGCAACAGAAATCAGGAAGAAACTTACACCACAAACAGAAATAGCTGAGTTAAAAAAATCTCAAAAGGGTAGCCATATTAGTCTGTAACTTTAAAAATGAGTGAGTATTCCTGTGGCACCTTAGAGACTAACAAACATATGAGCTTTCATGAGAACAACCCACTTCTTCAGACGAGCTAGAAGCTTCCAGCTCATCTGAAGAAGTGGGTTTTGCCCACAAAAGCTCATGATACTACAGCTGAGTTCGTCATACTTCTATAGCTAAACAGATTTGGGAGAATGACAGGTTTAAATACAGTAACAGAATAGGAAAATACTGCTAGATAAAGGACAAACTGATTAGGCCACTGCTTTTCAGCTTTTAGGTAGCTATTTGACTAGATGGGCAGCCTCCTGACTCTGTATCTTAGGTTTGATCAATGCCATAACTCTTGTCAGCTGAGACTCAGATTCCAAACCTAGACCTCTGACAAATTACATATGCTTTATCTGTATTAAAAGAGCACCTCTCCCCAGATTGACACAGTAGAAACACTGATTAATGTTCAAAAAAATTAATCTAAACAGCCAAGATGAAAAAAATTGGTGGGTTTTGTCTTACACTACAGTCTGTTGCAAACAAATGGAGAGGCTGAATTTTTTAGGAAAAAAATTATTAGCATTGAAGTCAGCTCTTTAAGGTGTTACTTTGCATGTGCTTTCCTCCCCAAAATATAAAATTCATATTTGTACAGTTTTAATACAATTAACAGTAAATATCATAGTTAAGATAAAATATGTCACCAACTATGCAGACTAGAACTTCCCATTTAACTAACATCTAAATCAAAGATTTCTGAAAGGCTCATAGCTTTCTGAACAGGAATCTAGTTTCCTCCATATAAAGGAATTCATTCTGTGTATCACAGAAGGCTGCATGTGACCTTGCACTGATTAGTTGCCTGTAGATGGTCTGGTGCAACAGAAAATGCAAAGGAGAGAGGCTGTACCAGAGGAAAACTACAAAACAGGTTGTAGAATAAGGAAAAAACAAACTTGACATCTTGTGTCAAGGTTCTGCTTTTATATGCTCAAGATGTCAGTCACGTATCCAGATTATTTATGGTGAATAGTTGCCGTTAACTGTTTACTTTCTCTTGTATGTATTTAAACAGAAGGGGTTTTTTTTTTTTTTTTTTACAAAGTTCTTTAATTCAAATGTCACTGCCTCTGGCTTCAGTCAATTTCTCAACACTCAAATGGGCTTGTAGTTGCCACTTTGTTTGGAATTGGTCAGGGTGTTCAGTTGTACAAAGACAATTTGTACCGTTCAGTTCCTCAATAAAAAAAATCTAAGCCCTTAAGTGTCCTTTTATTTGAAGAGGGACGTTATCACAAACATTTGAATTTTGAAATTAATTTCTTGGAATTATCAGCATGTGGCCATAACTGCAGTTTGTTAACATACAAGTTTGGCTTCCCTGCACAAAATACACATACCATTTTGGATTCCTACTTCAGCTAAAGTGTTAGGTACAAAAGATTCAGAAGTGAAAGGGCAAACTAGTCCTGGACTGAAGTGTATTTCCACTTCTGGAGAATTGTACTGTTGAGGAGCAATATGCCCAGCCTGGATGAATTCTGAGTTCTGTGAACAGGAGGCTAATCAAAGGTGGGCGGTTGAAAATTTCTTTCTGAAGAAATGACCTGATAGGAGCATGTTGTGCTTTATAACAAGGGTAATGGTCAAAAAGAATGACAGCAATGGGAAGAGTTGCTGCTCTGGAAGGCAGTGTTCCTGCTACTATTTCCCACCTCTGAGCAGAATGAATGTTATGTACATCAATATGGGGCTGATGTGTGGCCCTTCACCTTCATTTTGATGCACATAACCAAATTTCATGTTGAGTGTGGGAGGGGGCTCAGGCCTGGGGCAGCGAGTTGGGGTGCAGGAGGCAGGTTTCTGGAATAGGGGAGAGGATGATGTGCTCAGGACTGGAACTAGGGTTGCCAGCTTGGACTGGATGCCATGGCCACAAATGGTGTCAATTCCCTCCAGTCCGGGAAAGTTGACAACCCAGGCTGGGATGGGGTGAGGGATGCAAGGGCTCTGGGGCCTCACCACTCCATCTGTGGGGGGATTGGGGTGGGGCCTAGCGCCACCCTGGCTGGAGCAGGATTAGGCCAGAGTTGGGTGCCCCTGCCCTGCCCCAGCTACCATAGGTTCCCCTCTGATGGTCTGCATGGTGCTAAATTAATAGCTGTACAGCCACACAGCTTACAAGAAACTTAGCAGCTACTATCACCTTCCAGTTAAGTTGCCCTTAGCTGATTTTTCCCTGTAGAGCAGGGATGGGGAACCTAAGGCCCAGGGGTTGGATGCTGCCCCCAGCTTGCCTAGATCTGGCCCCTGAGACTTGGGGTTCCCCACCCAGCACTGGGGAGCCCCTGATGGCAAAGGGTGGTGTTTTCCCTAGGGATGTAATAGTGTTGATTAAACAAGCTGTAAGCCAACTACACCCATTTCTCTCCCTCACCCCAAAACCCTTGTCAGTAAATTTTAGCAGGCTGGCCAGCAGCCTACCTCAGTCCTGGATCACACTGGCCCCGGGGCCTACCCCCACCGCATCTCTGAATTTAAAGTGTATTAGGAGCTGGGTGGGCAAGGATCCCAGCTCAATTCAGGCTCAGACCCCTCCTGGAAAGGGGCTCCTGCCAACCTGTGCTGCTGCCTCTGTATCAGAGACAGCAGCACAGGGCAACAAGCAGCCAGTCTGCAAGGGGAGCTTTTTTTTTTTTAACTGGTTCCCCTCATGGACCAGTTCCTGCCTGGCACCTAGCACTGTTGCTTCTAATACAGAGGCGGCAGCCCCTCTCTAGGAGGGGTTGGTGCTCCAGAACCTGGTATGAGCTGGAACTGAGCTAGTCAGGCTGCCTGCCAGCCCAGCTCCTAATAGGCTTTAAATGCAGAACTGCAGCAGGGTAGGAAACTCCTCAGGAGTAGAACAGGAGCCCATTGGCTGCTAGCCCCATCCCCAGGGACTACAGAACAGTTGAGTAATGGGTAGGAATTCATGAGGTAACTTGACTGTTCTATTAACCAATATTTAACATCCCTAGTTTTCATGTGCTGCATCAGTAGCCCCAACCCAAAAAAAGGTTCCTCACCCCTGCTGTAGAGCACCAGTAGATCTCTACTGTAAGTTTGACTTGGCTAGGATAAAAAGGGTGTTTATTTAAAAGGCTTCATAAACACTATAGGCATGCACGCTGGAGCTGCTACAATTTCCTTCCTTCTAATATGGAGACCATATTTTTTACCCACAGCAAGGTAATTCTTTTGTTTTACACTAGTTTTCATTGAGGGTTTATCTTTACTGCAGTGTTAACTCTACATGTAACTTGTGGTGTTTTAATTCCTGCTCATACGCATCTCTAGTTTGAATTAACTGCTTTGAAACCTGAGCAAGTTAGCCCTTTAGCGGCATAAACTCAAGATCAGGTTAGGCCAGTTCAAACACACACACCACACATGCGTTTACACCAGTAAAATAGCACTTTTACTAGTATCCTCTTTCATGGAAGGGAGGTAAAGCACGCACAGCAGCAGCTGACAGTTTATACCATCCAAAATGCACTTTTGCTGGCAAATACAGTCCACAGTAGGAATGTTGTGCCAATGTGATATGCTGATACAGCTTTTCCACCCAAGTCTTCCAATATAGACTTAGGTTTAATAAAATAGGAGAAACATAGCTACTTGCTGTTAATCTAATCACTTTGTCATTAGTATTTATAGTGTGGCTGCAATCGCTTGAGTTTAGCTAATGCAAGGTAGTTTACATTGCACATTTGAACTATTAACTTCTCTGAAGGCAGCTGAACCCTTGATGTAGGTAATTTGTTTTCAAAGGGGATTAAGTACAGAGCAGTGGAGCTAGGTGAGACTAGAGACTTAAACAACCACTTATTTTTGGCAATGAAGAGAGGTTTAAGCAGCTAAGTATAACTACAGTGGTCCTTGTTTATGCTGATCATTTTATCCCAGTGAGCTCTGAGATCAACTTGTCTTACAGATGCCTAAGAAATTTTGATATAGGGGAAACCACCAGAAGCTATGACCTGCTAATAAGGATTTTAGAGTTTTTCTCTAAAATCATTCTATAGTCAGAGGCTTTAACATCTTCACTAGAATCTCCTGTTTGCAATTACTTAGAAGCCTCATGACAACTACAATTGTTTACATGGAAGAATACTAGAAAAACATTTAACAAATGGAAACAATGACAAGGACCCTGCACTTTGTAACCAGTCAGTGGCAAATGCTTGTTTTGCAGTTTGAGATGTGCTAGATCTCACTCTAGTATGCTATAGTTCTCTGAATGCCTTGACTTTCAGTTTATAGCACTTAATCTAAGCAGCAGCAATTTAAATAAACTAAAATAAAAGTACAAGCAAATATCATGGTTATGTGCATTTATTTTGATTTTTAAATGTATGTAAATGTAGATGCAAGTTAGGTGCAGTCCTCAGATCCTCTAAGTAGCCTGTTACAGCCCCCATGGGTTGAGGAGTTTGGACATCCCCTGGTTTAGAGGATCCATTCAATTACAGAGCATATTTATATTGATCTTAGTAAGTATTTTTGTTAAAAAGTAGAAATGCTGCAGAGAGGTATGACTTCTTTTCTGATGGACACAATGCTAAATCTTACAAATAGGTTTCATTGTGAGTTAAAACTACTACAAACAATATTTCATAATTTTTATTGATGGCATTTATCCCATGGTTTAACATGTTAATTATACTGTAATAAACATGGCTTTAATATTAAACTTTTCCTTATTATCCAAAGTCACCACAGTCCATTTCTGTAAATATAAAAATATATACTTAGTACTTTGTACAATACTGGTTTTTGGTCCAAACAAAAATGGATCAGAAAAGCCAATAAACTCACTTTAAGAATTCCCAATTTTATTTAAAGATTTTCCAAATGGATTTAGGCAACTTTGAATAATGGGATTTACATAATAAAATCTGAGACCATACTAAACAAAAATTGCCATAACACACAAAATTAAAATTTCAAGTTCACAGATTTGTTATGCCAAAAAAGAGAAACAAAATTATATTTACACTTTTTCATAATAAAATAAGAAAAAGGCGAGACAAGTGATAAAGAGCCATAAGAATGAAAATAAAGAAATAGCATATTAAATGGAGAACTACAGATCTAACAAGTCCTTAGCAGGGACCATCCTTTAATCAGTCTTCCTCTATCAGAAAATTTTAGTGCACAATACACCCAACTCACTCACTTCACACATACACCAGCACAAACTCAGCATAGAAATCATTCATTACCAACATTCTCTACTCTATACAGAATCCCTTCACTGATAATTACAATTTTGAGGCGTCAGTAAACGCAAATGAGTGCACATAGTGGTGCAGATGAAGAGGTATTATACAAAGCTATTTGCTGTGTGGGCTATATTTATGTCTTATAGCCAGACCATGCCAAGTCTGAATAAAGAAATTGCTGGATTCTAAAATTGTTTTGCTTGAGAATCTTCCTGTCGCCAACTCTACCTATTACCAAAAAAACTAAATGGGGAGAGTTATGAATTTCTTTAGGCAGATCTGACTTCAGCTAAACCCAGTATGAGGTACAATCCAATAATTGCAGGGCAACCAGCTATTGTGAAAGTTGCTGTTTAACAACCACTGGCAATTATTTTCTACGTCTAACCGCAGTTTTTATCTTCCGTCCAGAAACTGAAGATCCAGAAGCAGAGAATATATTTTTCCCATTAGACCTGTCAAAAAGAATTTAGAAGTAGTCAAATCTTTCATGCTTCCATTACCAATCTCTGGATTTTTCTAGAATAGTTTAAAATAACCATCTGCAATAATACATATTCTGATAATTAAGAAGGCCCAAACTTCATAAAAATGTATAGCAAGAGAAGGATTCCAGACACAAAATAAGTAGCTACATTTGCTATATTACAGTATAAAGCACACAGAAGGTGGTGGAAGAAGCAGCTGGCTTTAAAGTACAGTGAAACCTTTATTATTCAGTACTGTATTAACTTTGTTAACTAGCATTGCCCCCAGCCATAATACTGTCATCTTCAGGCGCACAGGCCTGGCTTGGTTTACCATGATTGGCTTAATTTTTTATTTAAGTACCACCAATCTTCTTTAACTCAAAATAGAAATGTGAGACCAACTGCCTCACACTACAAAACTACCAATATTAAAAACTTGAGTTTTACTATTATTGTCCATTGGTTTTTCCTAGGTTGATGGGACGTTCATAGAACCAGAATTTTTAGATAACCGGAACGTCCTAATTCCTGAGTGTGCCAGATAACACAGGTTTTACTGTAGATGCAAGGTCTACAAACACCAAAGAAGTTGTAATTTTCATGTGCAAAGTGATTTTATGCCCAACTAGAGACAAATGAGTGGATGCTCACCATCTCAAAATCAGTAGAGCCCTGCACGGTATCTGCAAAAGTGATCCACAGATTTGCAGGACTCTAAAAGTCACCTTTTAGCATGAAGGTGTCAAATGGGGCACCCAAAACTACTAGTCGCTTTTAACAGACTGAATTATCTTGTCAGGATTTATACTGTGAACACCTGAAGTAATCACGTAAATGAAGATTGTGCATCTTCAAACTCCCAAATAAAACTCATCACTAACATTCCCATGAATTAGTATCTTTATCCCCCTTTTAGTCACTTAAAAATATTCTTACCCCACTGTAAATGTTGGAGGCTGATTGAATGAAAATCCTGAAGAGCCAGAAGGCTGGGTTGGTGGGGCTGGTGCGCCAGAATTCCCACCAAAAGTAAATACTCCTGGGCTATTACTTGTGAAGTTAAAATTAGAACTACTTCCAAACTGGAATACACCACCTACAAAAGACAGAAGTCTATGTTTAACTACTCGAATGCAAAATAATCACATTTCTTCCATTCTACCACATACATTAAGTGTCCCAACAAGACCACAAGCTTCCCTAGAGCAGTGATACTAAAGTGGCTATTGCTGTAATCAACTTAAAAGCTACACTAAAAATATTTAGTGGAGCAACTTTGTGCAGGACTGGGATAGTAAGCCAACAGCTACTGCGTTGCTGATTCACATATAGCATGATGACTGAATGACCCTGTGAATACAACAGCTTTTAATATGTGCAGCAAGTTAATAATAAGTCATTTAAGGTAAGTAACAGCCAATTTCTCTTTATTCTGGATATTTGTGCATTTCAAACTGTAGCTTTATGAGTCAGAATCAATTATAAAAGCAGGGCATATAGCAGGGGTAGGAAACTTCAGGCCTGGGGACCGGATGTGGCCCCTGGCTTGCCTGGATCCTGTCCCTGAGGCTCAGGGCACCCCTAGCATTGATGCTTAAGCTCTTCCGCTGCCCCAAAACAGGGCAAAAGCACAAAATCTACTAGGCTGGATCCCCCCAGGCTCTGGTGTGCAAGGAGAATGGGGGGATTTCTCAGTAAGGAGCCAAGTAGTGAGGGGCTTGTTTTTTTGCTTCTCACTTTTGTGCAGCCCCCAACTAATTTTTTTATGGGTCAGTGGTCCCTGAACCAAAAAGGTTCCCCATCTCTGGCATAGAGCATATTTTGAATGCTCTGTAGATTTTAGGAAGCCTTTCAAAAGGAAATTGAGGAGCTGTACTTAAAATACATTTAGTATCATATGTGACACTTCCCACTGAATGGACTGATAAATTATAAACCACTGCATATATTTGGTCTTTCATAAATCAATACATACTGTATACACGTTTTCTAAACCAAGAAATTGTATTCAAGTATTTTTTTTACTGTCAAATAAACAAAATGGATCAAATAGAGGAGTTTCTTATATTCATATATACTTTCAGTGGGAGGAGACAGTTTCAGAAAGAAACTAAAAAAAAACCCTAAGAAAGGTAAGGAATCTTGCGTTTATTAACCAAGTTCTTTTGTGACTTATTTTTTTCAATATTAGCATCACAATTATTCTGATTTCAATTTAAAAGTACATTCCCACAGCTTAAGCCCAAATTTGGGTGCAATTAAAGTTTTTCTTGAACTTAAGTCAAACCTTTTTTTTTTTTTTTTTAAAGTGAGTTCCTAAAGTCAGTCTCTTAAATGTACAGAAGAGCTTCTAAAAATTCTGCTACTTGTTTAGATGCCTGAGGATAAATTAAAAATGTTCATTTTAACTGTATTAGATTTTTAGAGTAAAAGTTATATAAAAATAATGAATGAGACTGTAAAACCATTAAAAATATGAGGCAGGCTAAGGACAGGTGTACTACCTGAAACAAAAGTAGGCAGTTTTTAAAAATAGCTAAAAGTAGTTTAGATTTCAAGTTAATCATTCAACTCTAGACTTAAACCTCAGACTTGACTTGGGAGCCACACTCAGTTAGGCCTCGTCTACACTAAAAGGAAGATCACTGCTGCTATGATCAATCTTCTGGAGTTTGATTTAGCAAGTGTAGTTAAGAATCACTAAAACTCAGAGGGTGCCAGGTGCCTGGTGGTACTCCTTTTGCAAGGAATAAGGGAAGTCGAGGGGAGTGTTTGCTCCTATTGGCTTCCCATTGTGGAGACACCGCCAAGCTCAGCTTAAGGTAAGGTACGCTCTACGTAGCTGGAGTTGTGTATCTTAAGCTGAGCTGCTGGGTCTAGTGTAGACTTGGTTTTAGATCTCACTGCAGAACTACAGCCTGACTATTTCAACCTGAACAGTTTAATAGAATTTGAACATTCCTTTGCAGTGTTCACAACCCAGCCTTGTGTTACAGGATCAGTGAAATCTACTAAAAAAAGAAACTGGACAGTGAAAATACAGTTGTCAAAGTTGAGTGAAATGCAAAAAATAAAAATACAAAAATTGAAGATTGAGTCATAAAATTTAAGGGCATTATTAATATAGGTAAGGAAATAGGGATTTTCTTGTAAATATATTTAAACTTGAGAGTGGCCTTTTAAACTATTGTTTACCTATTTTCTGTTACAGCAGTTATATTATAGCTACAAGCTTAGCTGTAAATAAAGTCTTATTTTACAGTTAAGTGTGGCGGAGCTGATATTCAAGTATTTTATATTGTGCTAACAAATTTATAAATTCTCAATAGAGGCTCAACAATATTAAATGTGTTTGTATAACGTAACATCTAACGCAATGGAGTCGTCATTTGGTTGGCAGTTAAACACTATCAATATAAACATTAAATAACTTGTTCAGAATGACACTGATATCTGAAACGCCATTGGATCAAGGGAGGACTGACCAATCATTGACCTGTGTTATTTTCCCAGATAATATTTATAATTTCTATAGAATTACTGTATACACCTCCGCTGCATCTAGACTGGCATTCTCTTGTGCAAATACTTGCGCAAATACTTTTAACGCAAGAGTTCTTGCATTAAAGTATTTGTGCAAGAGAGCATCTACATGGGCATGTGTGCTTTTGCGCAAGAGCATCCCATGCCAGTGTAGATGCTGTCTTGCGCAAGAAAGCTCCGGTGGCCATTTTCGCCATCGGGGCTTTCTTCCGCAAAAGATTCCTGTCCTTATCTACACTGGCCTCTTGCGCAAGAGGGCTATTTCCTGAGCGGGAGCATCAGAGTTCGTGTGCAAGAACACTGACGATCATACATTAGATTGTCAGTATTCTTGCGCAAGAACTCGGGCCAGTTTAGATAGCTGGCAAGATTTTGCCTAAAAGCACTTGTTTTTGCGCAAAATCTGGCCAATGTAGACACAGCCCCCAGTTATAATAAAATGTTTAATATGCACTGTTGTAGCCTTATTACTTGCTGAACATTTAAACAGAACTATTTTTACAAAATCTGTATCTTGGGACCAAAATAAACATGAAGATATGTAGGGCTCGAACTCACCGGAATTAGGTGTTGTACCAGAGCCAAACCCAGGCTGTTGGCTAGCTTGCTGTCCAAACACAGGAGGCTGACTACTGCTTGACACAGACCCGAAGGCTGGAGGTGCAGGCTGAGAGCCAGCTGAAAATAATGAAGTTGATGATAATGATCCAAAAGTTGGAGCATTTGGCTGGCTGGTACCTTGACTTTGACCAAATGTTGGTGTCTGGCTGGCACCAAATGCTGGACCAGCAACAGGTGCTGAAGTCCCAGAGCCAAACACAAATGAAGAGGAAGAACCTAGAAAAATCAAGGAAGCAGAATGGAAACTTAAGTATCAGATTTATTTTTTTCACAAGGGCATAACTGTTCTAGAGAAGCAAGGCGGCTTCGTTTATGAAACCTCATCTTTAGAATTAGCCACCAAATGCTGCATCTAAGTTTAAAAGGTATCTGAAGTGGCTGAAATAAGCCATACAACTGGAGTGTATAAAACAGAAAATATCAGTTCAACCATGATAAAAGTGCAGTTGGTACGGTTACAAAAATAAAGCAGAAAACAGCATATTTACTCTGCCTGAAGGGTTACTGTCAGGTTTTTTTTAAATAATTTTACTCCTAGCCTAAAAACCTATAAGTTACATTACATCCTAAATATGAAATGGTCACTGCATAAAGTAAAATGTTCAATACAAACACTACAATTATCTAATCTAATAGCAGGTACGCACTAATGGTGACATTTTATCCATGCAGTAAGTTAAGAGTTGTTTCTGTCACATCAAGTCAACTGAGTGCAGAGTTCTACATTTAAAGTGTGGGCCTGTCCAGAAGTGGTGAGGTGTCATGCTCATATTTCACGTCTTAAAAAAACAACTATGAACCCATACACCAGGGGCCACTGACCCACAAAAAAAAATCAGTCGGGGGCCACACACAAGTGAGAAGCCCCTGACTGAGAAGGAGAAAGACACTCCCCACATTCTCCTTGCACACCAGGGCCTACGGGGGGGCCAGGATAGTAGATTTTATGTGCTCCAGCCCTGTGGTGGGGCAGCAGGGGGGCTGGAGTGCCAGCATGGGCTCCCCAATGCTAGGGGGAGCCATGAGCCTTGGGGGCCAGATCCAGGCAATGTGGCCCACGGGCCTGAGTTTCCCCAGCCCTGCCACAGACTCAACCTGACATTTGAGTTAAGCGGAGTTTCTTCCTTTTTACAATCACAGCTAATAATACAAGTCCTGTAGGCCAAAACAGATCTTTAATAACAATTGTTCAACTCTCACTTTTTTCAAATTGTGCCTAAGATTAGTAGTTATTAAAACAATTATACTAATGAGTCAGCATCGGAGAAAACAGAAGACTAGCTCATTCCCCTAGCTGTCTTAGCTCTTTTGGGCTAGCAGAAATAAAATGCAGTAGAGAAACACATACAGTAGTAACTGAATGCACAGGGAACACATCCACTATGTAGAAAGTGTCATCAGTTCAATGACTTTATCTAAAGGCCTTTCAGGCAGCAAATATACAACAGAAAAAAAAGAGCATGAGCTACTGCACTATAGCTTAGAATGCCCCAA